TGAAACTTTATGGATATTTGTGTTTAAGAACAACCAATTCTCACCAAGCCTTGGTGAAGTATGGTTGTGCTGTTACCTAGCCACCAATAAACTGTGACCATGCTCTGGTTGTCCCCTTTAGTCTAAGGCAGGGTTTCTCAACCTCTGCACTCTAGACATTTGGGGCCAGATTTTACTTCTGTTGTGACAAGCTGTTCTGTGTATTATGGGATGTTTAGCAGCATCCCTGGCCTCTGCCCACAAGATGCCGGTAGTTCCCTCCCAGTTGTGACAACCCAAAATGTCTCCAGATGTTGTCCAAATCGCCTCTAGTTGAGAAATACTGGTTTAAGTTCGTAAATGTTGACATAGGGTAATCATGAACAGTCTCCCCTTTTCCTCTCAAAACTCCATTTGGATGACATATTTTATGGTCACCCTATACATCATATATTTATTTCCATGTCAAAGTTCTCCTGATGACTTCATTCATTTCGCACTAATGGCTATGACTGGGAGTATGCACTGGGGGCGGGGGTACCAAAATAAGGAACGGGGAGGGGTGTATCAGAAATAGTTGAAAGGCTGTTTAAAGTACTCACTCTTGTTTAGGAGAACCCATGTCAAACTTCTCCTGATTATTTCATTCATTTCGCGCTAATGGCTATGACTGGGAGTATGCATTGGGGGCAGGGATGCCAAAATAAGGAACGGGGAGGGGTGTATCAGAAATAGCTGAAAGGCTGTTTAAAGTACTCACTCTTGTTTAGGAGAACCTACCATCTGGGGAATTACTGCGATAGGAGACTTAGCTACCTATGAATACTTTAAAAAGCTCTTGTGATTCTAAAGCAATATCCCCCAACTCTGTCCCAATCGTCCTTTGAAAACTCCCATCTCATATCAAAGGCCAAAGCTGAATTTATATGTCATGATAGAAGTCAGCGTAGTGGGTAACTTCAGAAGGAGTCACAAGAAGCAGAGGTCTGAGACACTGGTAATCTTCCACTTCTTCATCTGGGTGGAGTCACATGGGTCTATCACTTTGGGCATATTTATTGAGTTTACCTTTATTATTTGTGGGTTTTTCTCTATTGATATACATACATAATATCATATATACTTCTATCACATAATGCTTACCCCAAAAATAAAACATGATTCAGAGAAGAGCAAATATTTACCCATTTTGAACCCCCAATATTTACCACTTGGGTTTAAGACCAAGCCTAATTGAAACTGCAGATGACTTTTATTTGGCAGCTACTCCCTGGAGCTCTGACTCCTGGCAGAGGGAGAGGTAGATGTCTGATCAGCTTATTAAATCTGTGAGCTATGAGACGACGGTCATGTTGTGATTGTATGAGGTTCAAGGAGCATTCTTCTATTGTGGCTAGACACTGCTTCCCACGGCTTAGACAGTATCCTGCTATGAAACTTAACCAAAGAGCTCGGCTGGCATGGCTCAGTGGTTGAGTGTTGACCTATGACTGAGAAGGTCACTGTTCGATTCCCGGTATGGGCACATGCCGGTTTTGCGGGCTTGATCCCCAGTATGGGGCCTGCAGGAGGCAGCTGATCAATGATTCTCTGTTATCATTGATGTTTCTATTTCTCTCTCTCCCTTCCTTTCTGAATGACAACAGAGGTTGGGGAAATACCAGAAAGCAAGGTATAAGTGCCACTTGTGGTTCTCATGAACTCTAACGTGGTGTTTCACATCTCCTGTTCTTTAAGAGACAAACATGAAACCAATCTGGAGAACTGCTAAAAATACTGGAGATGCTGGCCACACTGGCCGGGCCACTCATACTCCTTTCATAGTCATGTGGGTGCCTGTATTCTCACATGCCTGCCCTCTCTTTCTTTTTTCTTTTGGCTGATTTTCTTTTTGTCTAATTTTATCTGATTCTTAATTTTTTTTAACATGTTGTTATACTCTTTGGTTTTCCATCTTCTGTAAATTATCATTTTATATCTTTTGGCCATTTTTCTTTTTTCTTTTTTTTATATATTTTATTGCTTTTTTACAGAGAGAAAGGGAGAGAGATAGAGAGTTAGAAACATCGATGAGAGAGAAGCATTGATCAGCTGCCTCCTGCACACTCCGAACTGGGGATGTGCCCGCAACCAAGGTACATGCCCTTGACCGGAATCGAACCTGGGACCCTTGAGTCCGCAAGCCGATGCTCTATCCATGGGGCCAAACCCGTTAGGGCTACCCAATATGTATTAAATGCTAACCATGTGCCAGATACTGTGTTCAACATTTCACATATCACGTCTTCTAAACCTCAGACCAGCCTATGGATACCACTATTGCCTCTCTTTTACAGATGAAGAAACTCTACTAAGATCACATTGTAAATGGCAGATCCAGGATTTGAACTAAAAGGTCTGACTCTAGAGCCCATTCTCTTGCTAATTATGCTACTTTCCATGCAGGTGTCAATGAGAGAACAAAAGCTGACATCTGCTAAATCCAAGTTCAGCAATCTTTTCCACCACCTACTGGGGTATAGATATCCTGAATACCAATTCATAAATTATTCACTACTTGGTTCTAAGTACTACTTTGGAACCTGTCTCTGTTCCTAAATAATTCATTTTCATCTTTTTAGCAGCTAAATAATTTGAAAGGTATAAGGTATGAAAGTCAATTACATACAAGCTGATTTCTATTGCTGCACAGCTGAAAATAGTGTCTCATATAAAAATGACGAACATCCACAGAAATAAGTGGCAAGTTCAATCAGACTAGAAGCGCTCAGAGAGTGATATAAATGCTTTAGCCTTTTATAGTGACACATTTTGACCCGGTAGATGATAACCGTCTTTACCAATTTCCAACCCAATTGTTCACACGAGGGAAAATTACCAGTCTTGGCACGAGGCAAAGCATTTTCATCTAATTTATGATTCTTTATAACAGGCTGGAGTTTGAACAGATATTGATGGCCAGAAAAATTCTATGAAGGGTTTTAAAAGATCTGTAATTCTCTTGTGATCTGCTAATGCAGTGTATACCACTTTGTTGTCTAGGAGTTTAGAAAACCGTGTTCCCAAGGTACTAGCTGGTTTTATAGTAGGAGATGGAATTGATTTCTTTGTAGTAAACAGGAACAGGGCTTAAGTGAAAAGTAAAACTTGGGAGCTAAATAAAAGATGACTCCTGTGTTGGTAACTTCAACTTGAACAGACTTACAGGACTGCTGCAGTGCTCTGAGCCATCGCCTGCTCTCCCTGGAATTTCTCGTTTCGGGCTGCTCATGTTGCACTCAGCTTCCTTGACCAGAAAGAGCTGCTCATCCAGAGCCTCCTTCTGCAGCTGGAGTTTCTGTACATAGCCTGTCTGAGTCTCCAGTTCCTTCTCCAGGGAAAAGATGATCCTGTCCTTGGCTTTGATTTCATCCATCTGAATTAAATGACACCCAGGACATGTTATTTAACCATGCTGTAAAGAAATTCATTTTTACAACAGCTTTGAGTTGAACTGCTTTCCACTGATTGCTGTATAACTAAGTCATGAGTATGACTAGTGTATTGGATTCATGAATAAGGCAATGCTGTGTAATGAAGGACTATCCTAGGCTAGTTAGGTATCAAAGAGTCAGAGAGTCTTTCTCTCTCTCTCTCTCTCTCTCTCTCTCTCTCTCATTCTGTGTAGATGCTTTGAGTCTATATGTTGTTTGAAATAGTTTGGTTGAATATGGAAAGAAAAGGCTCACTTGAAAATGGATCATTAGTGTTCATAAAGACAGATACTAAATATTCCACTACAGGGTTTCCCAGAACAATTTTGGATGTCAACTCCTCTCTGGGGGAATAACCTTTGAGTTCAGTTCAAATAGCAGTAGCCACTCGGAATAGGTCATTCGTAACTGGAGAAGCTACAGACTTCCTAGGAGCCTAGTCATTTCCACAGGCCAGTATGTTTGCATCCAGGCTGTGAATCTGCAGTGAGGTCCTTCCGTGGTTCATGTTGTCTAGCTCTTTCCATTCCTATCCATGTTTCAGAGCAGCCAATTCTTAGCAACCATTTTACCCTTCGTCTCAGAAAGCCATGTTTGGAACAAGAATCGGGATGGAAAGTACCTGGTTTTATTAGCACTTCTTTCCCTCATACTCCTATGGGATATACTTATTGATCCTCACTCTCATTTCTGCTAAGTCTGCGCATGGCCTCAGAAATATTTCTCAACTAAAGGCCTATAAACATTTGATACCAATTGTTCAGAGTTTCATTGGACTGAATGTTTTTGCCAGGCCTGGATGAGGGCAAGTGAAGTGAATTTCTGTAAATAAATTTTGAAGAAAGCATAACTATTGAGTGAAACCTTTCTCTTCATTTCATTATATCCAGTGTGAATATTCAAAATGGAGATAGAGAAAAGACATTGAATACAAACAACATTATACCATTATACTCTTCTCTTTAGATAGATGTCTCCTTATAATAACAAATCATTTTATATAAATCTTTCTTTGCTTTGCTCCTCAGACCAAAAAAAAGGGGAGGGGGGCAGAAACTGTGTTACATAGTCACGTATTTCCCATATGTAAATATCTGTGAGCTATTGCTTCAAAGACACATGATGGCTTTAGATTAATTTTGGGTGGCCATTGTCCTAAATTCCAAGTTACCAGATGATCCTGTGATATCGTCTGGTAGCTTGGTGAGAAATTGAACTGTCCTGTTAATTTGGAAATAAAAGCATGGTCTTTGTTTCTATCTCCTTGTAGAAGATCGACGGCAATGTTATTCTTTACTGAGTAGCACATTCCTTTGTCAGACCTGTCATCTATGGTGTTATTTACAGTTTACCACAGTTCCAGACATGCATACTCCTAGTTGGTGCTGATGTATCATACCCAATTTGCTGGGAAAATACCCCATTACTGCTCATATCATCATCCTCATCATCACCACCATCACAACTGAAATGTATTGATCTCTTACCACATTCAAGGCACTAAACGCAGAGCTTTACATACCTTATCTTATTTTATTAACAATCCTTTTATGTAGGTTCGGCTATCACCATTTTAGAGATGATGACTGTGTACCAAAGAGTTAATGTGGTTAGAGTCATGTGGCTAATTGGTGAGGCCTGATTTTACATTCAGTCTTCTGACTTTAGAGTCCACTCTATTAGAGTCTATGCCTTACTGACTCCAAGACTATTTCCAGCATTTCCCCAAGGGGTTTCCTGCAGGATATTCAGTAATTAGTGTGTGAAGGCTCTGTTGTATAATAGTTATAAGGATGGATTGTGGTCTCTGAACACCAGAATTTTCCATAGTTCCATTCTTAGTTGGGATAGAAATTTATATATATAT